TCTGTTTGTTTTTTGAGACAGGGTCTCACTATGTAGTTGAGCCCGACCTGGAACTCACTGTGTAGCCCAGGCTGGTCTCAAACTCACAGCGATCCTCCTGCCTCAGCTTCCCAAGTGCTGGGATTATAGGCATGCGCCACCACGCCTGGCGATAAATTTAGGAGTGATCATTTTCAACAAAAAAAATTTTCCCTTATATAATGAATAAGGTCCCCATTAGGTGCCAATTTATCTTAAACATTGTCTTTAATTTATGGCTCTCCTTTTAAGGAAGGGGATGTAACCAGGTTCAGGAGTGGTAAACCTTGACTTGGACAATACCTAGAAATAGCAAAAAGATAAGCTAGTACTGAACTATCAAAGTATATCAAATATTCTAAACCCAGAAATGGATATTTGTTTGTAGTACATATGTCATACAGCAGGTTCTCAGGTGCTACTTTATCTTGAAGTTCACACATTTTTTTATATCCTGTCTTGGTTTAATCTTTCCTTTCTTCATTGAAGCTTAGTGACTTGAAACAATAATGGGTCATCTGTGATGGCAGAAGCTAAGTGACAAAAAAATTGGAAGTTGACACTAATTGAACACAAGCTAGGCCGTGGAAAGCTCTTCTACAATGAGTCTAACAGAGGGAATTAAGTGCGGGTACTTAGCATCAGAAAGCAGTAATCACTTCCCGGAATAATCAATAAGCTGTCTTAGTCTTCTGCCTCCTCACTGTTGCTAATGACACCTGCACTGTCTTAATCACTCAGTGCAAAACCGCAGATCATCTTGGACTCTATTAATGCTCCTTTGGCCAGAGAAACGAAGTACAGACCTGATAGGAGGAGCTTAGTGGTCATCTGAATGAGGCTTCTTGTTTACAGATAGAGCTTTGGACTTCCTCTATATTTTCTTTGAAATCTCCTTGAGATATTTATTGCATCTTATATTTTGTTCATATTCCAGATCCTACTGAATATTAACCTTTTCTTGAGTGTCAGGATTATTTATGATTTTTTTTTTAGTGGTAGGGATGAAATCCTGGGCCTTATTAGGCGTATTAGGCAAGCATCTACCACCACACTACGATTCCATCACCATGCCCCACCCTCATTCCTCAGCCTTCTGAGTGGCTGGTGTTACAGGCATGTGCTGTGACGCTTAGCTCAGATTCATCTTTTATCATCCACAATGGACACCAGAGTGCCTGGGCTGTAACAGTAAATGTCCATTGATTCATTCTGCAGTGTCTTTGAAGCTTCTACTCTGAGGGGTATTTATAGCCGATTGGGGAAAATAACACTAGTAAAACTAGGAAAAATTATGTGTTATCCTGTAGTTCCAGTACTCTGGCAAGTTGAAGCCCAACCCGGGGAACTTAGCACCTTAACGAGATCTTGTCTAATGCAAACAGAAAAGATAAAATAAAAAGGGCGGGGGGCTGGGGATTTAGCCCAGTGGTTCCACCGCCTGCCTCACAAGCGCAAGGTCCAGAGTTTGATCCCTGGTACCAAAAAAAAAATGTGGGGGGGTGTAGCTCATTGCAGAGGTCCTGGGTTCAACCCCCACTATCACTGAAAAAGAACAACAAAAAAATTATGCATCATGATAAATACTGCAAAGGAAAAGTCAAGGGTCTGTGAGACTATTTACTTTGGGTCCAAATCTGGTCTGGGGGGTCAGGGGCAGCTTCCTTGAGGAGGTGATGTTTGAGTTTAGATTTGAAGTAGTGCCAGGCTTATTAGAAGAAGTAGTTTGGAAATGGAAGATGGGAGTCAAAGGCAGAACATGCCACGCGGAGGAATCCGTGTGTGCAAAAGCCCCATGGCAAAAGGAATCATGACATTTATTGGGCATCAAAAAGAAGGCTGCTGTGATGGAGCAGAGAGTGAGCTGGAGGTGCAGCCAGGGATGTCAGGAGACACACACGTCACAGAAGAATGGATTTGTTCTTTAACCCAAGAACAGTGGAATGAATTTACCTGTAAGCGTCACTGGCCCCATCCAGGCTCTTCACTTTGCCCTCTGGAAGAGCTAATCAAGGTCCTTGATGAATCTAATAATTCCTCTAGTGTTTACTGCTACTCCTGGATGACTCATGAGTCTTATGTCTTGGCTACTTTGCCAGAGGTTACTTGCCTGACTATATCCTTTTTGGTTATTTCTCTCTCTTTCTCTTTTCTTTTTCTTTTTTGTTCTTTGTTTTTTGAGGCATTAGTTTGGGCTGGACTCAAACTATGTAGCCCAGGCTGGCCTCAAATTCACAGCAATCCTCCTGCCTCAGCCTCCCAAGTGCAGGGAGAACCAGGGCATGTCCCACCATGCTCAGCTATTTTTCTCTCTCTCTTTTTTTTTTGGTACTGAGGATTGAACTCGGGACCTTGCACTTGTGAGGTAGGCGGCAGAACAGAACCACTGAGCTAAATCCCTGGCTGTTTTTCTCTTTGATAAATTTAATCTTTCTTCCTTCTTTTTTTTTTATAAAGCTAACTTTTATTTTATTTTATTTATCCTGTGCACTTGGCCTGCTACTTCTTTGGCATCATCTGGGAAATTTCTGCGTCCACAGTGATCCTTCAGTCTCTGCCATCCTCTCTTCTGATCACTACTCTCTCGCAGAGCTGAACAAGAACACTACATTTCATTTTCAGATCTAAAGAGCCTTGCCTTGGCTGTGTTGTTTGAGGCACAATTTTTACTCTCTTGAACACGTTACCTTCTTTTCTGTTTGTTTTTTGAGACAGGGTCTTGTATGTAGTCCAGGCTGGCCTTAAACTTACTATGTGGCCCAGCCTAGTCTTGAATTCATGATCGTCTTCAGCCTCCCGAGTGCCAGGATTATGCACCACCATATCCAGCTTTTGTCTTCTTGATTCCTCATTCTTTCTTTCTCCTATGTTCAGTTCAGTTCAGCTGATAGTTTTTGAATACTCTGGGCATGGCACTTTATCAGGTGCTACTGAGCATATAAAGATGAGCATTTGGCCCTAGCCTCCTGGGACTTTTTTTTTTGTTTTGTTTTGTTTTTTTGCTACCGGGGGTTGAACTCAGGTCCTTGTGCTTGCAAGGCAGGCCACCGAACCGCTGAGCTAAATCCCTGGTGGGACTTTTATTGTTAAGGTTTAGTTTACTTTTTTGAGGCAGAGTCTCATTGTGTTGCCCAGTCTGACCTTGAACTTCTTGACTCACATAATCTTCCTGCTCTGCCTCCCAAGTGTCTCAGATTGTAGGTACCTGTCATTCCACCTGACTCCTTGAAACTTTTAGTTTATAAAAGTGAGACACTTAAAGAACTACATACAAGGTTTTATTTAGACTACTGATAGGGTCTCGCTTTCTGGAGGAAGTGGTATTGATGGTGATCCATAGGGTCCATAAATGACCAGTAAGATTTTGATGGTGGCTGAAGAAGGGAAAGCAGATATTTAGAGGAGGGAATTTCCAACAAATAAATGATCTTTTAAGACTGAAGCTGCTGGGGGTGGAGGAGCACACCTGTAAACCTGATACTCAGGAGGCTGAGTCAGGAGGGTCACTTTGAGGTCAAGACCAGCCTGGACTTCCTAGTGAGTTCAAGGCCAGCCTAAATTACAAAGTGAGACTCTGCCAAAACAACCAACCAGCCAACCAACCATCCAGCCCTGAAGCTGACAATAGAAGTGTGGGAATAATAGGAGCAAAAGCCAGAAAGCTGGATTGGCTGGTTGCCATTCTGGGGCAGGGACCTCAGATACAAGGGTGGGCAGCATGTGCTTGTGTGAGGTTTCATTTTAGTCCTAAAAGAGTACAACCACTACCATCCTAGGCTGACCAGAGCCCACTTTAAGCCTCTTGCATTCACTATGCTTTTATACTTGCTAAAGGTGTATAGTATAGTCGTGGGTTAATAAGCCCAATAAGCATAGCTACAGCCCATAACTCCCATCATTATTCAGCCCTGCTCTTGACAATCAACCACCACTTCCTGTACTTTCTCAAGCCTTGTCCCTGGCAGGTAGACACAGCTCCTTTTCACTGAAATCTTCCTCTTGAAAGTCCAATGTTGACCTTTTCCTTTTATAGTTCCTCTTGTGCTCATGACCCTATAGAGGACCTTATATCCTGTACAAGAGTTACTGGTTTGGTCTAAGTGTCAGGGCAATCCCTCTCAGGTTTGTTCTGAAGTAAACCTGTCCTCTTGAACTTGTACCTTTGGTTTTCTTTTTCCTTACAAGTCCCATAGTCAGCTCCGAGCCTGGTAACAAGGTATCCAGGAGTATGACATTTAGGTACTGTTGGCATCGTCAGGTTCTGACCTGCAGCTGGCTGTTTAATAACAGAAAAGTCTGCCAATTTCTAGACTACCTTTTTATTTTTAAAGCAGGAATAACTTTGTTCCATGAAACATCCCCCCCATGTTATCTCTTCTGTTTCTCCTTTTCTGTCTGCATCTATGTGGAAGCAACACATTTTTCTGTTGTAGAAAAGAAGAGTTCTTATTGTTTTCTCTGTTAGGCCTTGTGTCTCGAAACCGCCCTGAGGAAGAGGATCAGTATTGGCTGAGTATGGGCAGAACTTTCCACAAAGTGACTCTGAAGGACAAAATGATCACAGTGACACGGTACCTTCCCAAGTACGTCCTTTGATGTCTGAGGTCTTCAACTAGCACCCTGAATTATGTCTGCATCCTAAATTATGTATAGAGTACAAAGTGCAAACCAAGAAAGTCAAGTGGTTGGTTTTCCTTTGGAGTATTTGTTTTGTTTTAAAATAACCCTGAGGTTGGTGGTGCATGCCTGTGATCCCAGCACTTGGGAAGCTGAAACAGGGGGATCACTGCAAGTTGGAGGCCAGCTTGGGCTACATAGTAGGTTTAAGACCAGCTTGAACTACGAAGTGAGTCCCTGTCTCTAAATAAATAGATAGAGGTTATAAGTTACCTGTTTCCAAAAGGAATTTGATTCATCTTACAACGTTTAGTATGATTCATACTAAACCAGTTAAAATAAAAAATGTAAGGAGAAGAATTAAAAAGTTTAAGAATGGAGCCGGGGATTTAACTCAGCGGTTCGGTGGCGTGCCTTGCAAGTGCAAGGACTCGAGTTCAGTCCCCGGTACCAAAAAAAAAAAGTTTAGGAAGATAGAAATTTCCATTTCAGTCTTCTGGCATGAGTTGGTTCTCATAGTTAAGGGTGGAAATACCAAGGATTGGGGCTGGGTATTTAGCTCAGTGGTTTGGCCACCTGCCTCGCAAAAAAGAAGAAAAAAGAAATACCAAGGATAGTACTTGATGAGTGCTTTGAGACAGAAAAGAAAGAGAAAAAATTTGTGTTTGTGTGTGTGTGTGTGAGAGAGAGATTCTCTTTCAGATGTGCAGACATGCTCTTTATTTTTCAGATACCCTTATGAATCTGCTCAGATCCATTACACCTACAGCCTCTGCCCTTCCCACTCAGACTTGGCATTTGTCTCCTGTTGGGTGGAATTCTCCCATGAGCGACTGGAGGAATACAAGTGGAATTACTTAGACCAGTATATTTGTTCTGCAGGTTCTGAGGATTTCAGGTTAGAGAGAGGGCTTTGGCTTTCTGTTCTTGCTGGTTTGGGTATATGGGTATTTTAGCACTTCTATCTTTTTTTCCAAAGCCAAAATGTTTGTTTTGTCTTCCAGGGGGGAAAAAAAAAAAAAAAGGAAGAACAAAGGCACATCTGCATATATTAAAAATAGTGATGAGGTGGATATGGTGATGGTTATATCCTAGTGCGGATGCACTTAATACCTCTGAACTATACATTAAAGTTGGTTAAAGTGGTACATTTTGTTATATATATTGTGCTACAGTTGAAAACAAAACAACTCAGTGATGATGTGCCCTTTGGTACAGAAGTTGGTGCAGATCATGTTGTACCATTTCCTTGTCTGCCTGGCTGGCAACTCTGTGGTGTCTTGCTTTTAATTTTTGACTTTTATGCGTGATTGATGATTGTGATAGTACACAGCCTCACCTTTGTTGGGTCAGGGTACATAGAAGCTTCTTGACATTCTGGGATTAAAGCAAAAGTGACCTCCACTGTCTTCCTTCCCAGCTTGTGTTTTAAATGAAACCATGAGTTGTAGCATCAGATGAATGTGCGCCCCGGGAGATGGACCCTTATGCACCAACTCCAGAGAGAATTTGCTGGGAGCGCTCTTATTGTCTGCTTTTTCTCATTGGTACCCTGTGTTTTCCTTGGCTTTCTGTAGCTTAATTGAGTCTCTGAAATTCTGGAGGACCCGCTTCCTGCTGTTGCCAGCCTGCGTCACTGCCACCAAGCGCATCACAGAGGGGGAGGCCCACTGCGACATCTATGGGGACAGACCCCGTGCAGACGAGGATGAATGGCAGCTCCTGGATGGCTTTATCCGTTTCGTGGAGGGCTTGAACCGGATCCGCAGACGACATCGTTCAGATCGCATGATTCGGGTGAGGGCTCCCGGGGCTTCTTTAGCACTGTGCTTGGTTGCGATGCAGACTCTTCCTCTCCTTTCTCAGGAGCCTCTCATCAGTCAGTTTGTTTACCCCACAACTGCCTAATATCTGTCTTAAATCCCAAACGGTGTGTTCTTCTCCACTGCAAGGTAAAGGAGGGGTTAGGGTGCAGACCATGGATTGAGCCTCCCTCTCTAGCTGAGGACACAGAGCCTTTATGCACTTCTCTAAGTGGGAACCAAACGTTAAGCACGTCCGCTTGTAATGTGTTGAATTGCTAAATAGAAACTCTCAGGGGATTAATAGTAGCAGTCTTTCCCTCTTCATATCACTTTTAGGATTTCCAATTCCGTCCAGTCCTTCATTTCAGTCATGTACTACTACTCAGTGGGAAACAAGCTTGTGGGGGCTGTGGAATAGCTGAGGCCACCCAACCAATAAAGGGCAGATATGGGATTTCCATTGCTTCATTTAAATTAACAAGCAGTATACTTGACCTGTGTGTAAGTGTATGTATATGTGTGTATGTACATGTTTGTAGGTATGTACATATATGTAGTTATATACATTTTAATAAATGCATAGATTCACTCAACCACTACCACACTCAGGACACAGAATAGCTCCTTCGCCTCAAAGAAAGCTCCATTATTTTGCCCTTGGTCATGAATCATATTCTTTCCCATTTCTATCCCTTAGCAACCACTGCCCATCAAAATACTTTTGTCTTAGGGCCGGGGATTTAGCTCAGCAGTTCGGTGATCTGCCTTGCAATCCCTGGTACCAAAAAAAAAAAAGTTTTTGTCTTTTGCAAATGTTATAGAAACAAAATCATATAATATGAAACCTTTTTAGCTGTCTTCTTCCTTGTGGAATCATCCTTTGGGATACATCCAAGTTGTTTTGTGTATCAGTAATTAATTCCTTTTAATTGCCTGATAGTATTCCATTACCAGTTGGTTTCTATTATTTTGTTTTTAACTTCAGGTTCAGTATTGTTTCTTCCATGCCAGCTGCCTTTTGTATGCAGAAGAACTTATGATTGGAAACATTTCTGAGAGAGCTTGTATAGAAAGATCTTGGGGCCCCGGGAATTTGGCTCAGTAGTTCTGCTGCCAGCCTTGCAAGCGCAAGGGCCCAGGTTTTGATCCCTGGTACCAAAAAAAAAAAAAAAAAAAAGATTGG